GCAAAAATTAAGGTATCCATTGCATGTTCGGAAATAAGTTTTCGGGCAAGATGTCATTTTTTTGTTTTGTCATGACACCTAGACGCTTGTCAATTCCAATTTATTGGAACAAATGGCGTATTAAATATACTAATACCGATGAATCAAATTTTCAATTCTTTTCTATGAAATGGTCACGCTTCAGTTAACATTGTAGCTATTCATAAACTAAAACGTTTAAATGCTTTAGTTTTTGCTTTAGTAACATAATGATTTTCAAATACATCATAAACAAGTTTTGAAAAGTAAGATATTACTCTCATTTGGTGATGTGTTATCAATTTTGTCTAGTGTATCTCTATTAGAAGATAAAAGTAATATTTATTCAGGAAAAGATATATTATGTTCATAATTGCAATTAGAGGACAAAAAGTAGTATGATCAGAAGCAACCTAATTAAAATTAGATTTTAGATCAGCTCGCGTACTCGCTACACTAACATCCACGACAGAGGTCAAATTCGGAACAACTCTAGACTTATTCTCTCAACAAATATACTATTAATTTGCAGGCGATAATTTGTTTGGTTGATGGAATTTGACCTCAGGGTCACCCTCTATGGAATGTTGTTATATGTTAGTGAAGCGAGTACGCGAGCGAATCTAACATCTAATTTTGAATAATTCAATTTCACTTGTATCAAGCAATTTCATTGGCTGAATCATTCTGAGGAACATATAATATTTTGTATAACATAACTTGCCTACGTCACAATGAGTTACGTCAAAAACGCATTACTCCGCTTGACGTTACTTTTAAAATATGCTAAATTTGAAGCCTTTTTCCGGAGGAAAAGTTGTATCATTGTCTATACTGAAATTAAATTATAAGGAATGAAGCTTATTTCTACTTATGTTATACGATATAACATAACTTGGGACAGTTTACGCCTTTTTATAAACCGCTTCGCGGCCCCAAGTTATGTTATATCGTATAACATAAGTTGGAATAAGCTTCATTCCTTAATTAGATTTGATCTGAAGTAATTTCAAAATTACGATAGAAATACAACATGTATACAAGGTTGTCTTTGAGCTTTTATTAATGCCTAGGTCACATTTCCCGGCCGGTAGCCGTATACCGGTGGTAATCAGTAGTAATCCGCGGTGTGAGCGATGCCCCAACATCGGTCCACATCGGTCTAGTAGTCCGTAAAGTACCAGTCACATTATCAAGCGATGTGCATACGATGGGCAACCAATGCATTTTATGATATAAATGGCGTGGTTGCCGGTCGGACTTACAAAGGCCCAGCGATGCATTGCTAATCATAAAACGATGTTCCAGGATAATCAGTCGATGTATATTACATCGCTCATACATTGGTGAACATCGTTCGCTCATCGGTCGACTACAGGCCAATGTTTGGTCGAACATCGACCGATGTTCGGTCGTTATCTGTTGAACACCACTAAACTCCCCGATGACCTCTGATTCAACGGATATTGGACGATGCTCGGCCATACATCGGCCGATCCTTGAAAGATGTGTAAATGATGGATTGCCGATGAGGAGCGATGTGAGGCATCGGTAGAGACATCGCTGAATTTTAACTACGAATTATTTCCTACCGATGACCCCACCGATTCGCAAAAACGACTCAGTCACCGTCCGATCACTAATGGTGCCCGGCCGGCAACCACGCCATTTTCATCAAAAAACGCATCGGTTTCTCATCGTATACCCCATCGTTGGACAATGTGACTTATACTTTAAGGAGGAACAGGACCTTTCGCTGAAAAAATTCCTGTCAGTGGATTTTTTTCGTATTTTTTAGCTCTACTGGTCAGAGATCAGAAGAGCCTTATGCGATAGTAATGCGTCCGTCGTCCGTCCGTCTGTCTGTCTGTCTGTCTGTCCGTCTGTCTGTCTGTCTGTAAACAATTTTTCAAAATGCTACTCCTCCTACAGTTTTGGTCTGATTTCAATATAACTTGGCACACAAGTAGACTACACTAAGATACATAATTCTGTATATCGGTTTTTGATTTCGATGAACGGTGTTGTCGTGGTTACTAAAAATAGAAATTTCTGTGAAATTCTTTCAAAATGCTACTCCTCCTACAGTTTTAGTCTAATTTCAGTATAACTTGGCACACAAGTAGACTACACTAAGATACACAATTCTGTGTATCAGTTTTTGATTTCGATGAACGGTGTTGCCGTGGTTACTAAAAATAGAAATTTCTGTGAAATTCTTTCAAAATGCTACTCCTTCTACAGTTTTAGTCTGATTTCAATATAACTTGGCACACAAGTAGACTACAATAAGATAAATAATTCTGTGTATCGGTTTTTGATTTCGATGAACAGTGTTGCCGTGGTTTCTAAAAATAGAAATTTCTGTGAAATTCTTTCAAAATGCTACTCCAAATACAATTTTAGTCTGATTATAATATAAATGTGGCATGCAAGTAGACTGCACTAAGAACATAAAGAGACTTAATCAAGGATCATTATTCTATTTATTGCTGTTGAAAAGTTTCAATTTCCAACTGCTTAAGTACTTTTCTCTTCCTTTGCTATAAGTACAAACCAGTTGAGCTTCAGTCTCGACAGAGACTTCTGGTTATATTACTAATTTAATATGTACTTAACATTTTAAAACGGTCCTGTCATGGGATTTCTTGACTTATTTAAAAGATATCGCCCCACAAATACCGCCCTGTTTAGAGTTTGTATGGAGTTTAGATACTTCATGTTTACGGGCCCATAACAGAGTCCATAATGCGAATTTTTACGCACAAACGATAAATATGATAGATAACACTATATAATCAAATATTTCAGAATATTCATAGTGTGTAAATTATTTGAAAGCAATTGTTTTAATTTTATTTAGTATTTGGGAGGGATAATTTCTGCATTTTTCAAGGCAGCTTCAACAACAAAAACCTCATTTGGAAAAAATTCTGTCAATAAATATTTTTAAATTTACGATTGAATGTCAGTCCTTCATCGTAATTATTTACTGCATAAATATCACAGGGTGAAGCTTACCTCAATATCGCACAGGACGTCGTTGAATTAGACGTAAGCATGATAAAAACGCTTCACGTTCGTATTTTCCGAGTGCGGGAAATCAATTGTGACGTCACACGAAAACATAAACATTCAAAATTATCTAAATAGGGAGAATCTCTGCTACTAAACACGAAAAAATATTAATTAAAAAAAATCTGCTTTAGAAATTTATAACGATACATTGACTGTGACCTGTTTATTTTGAAATAAAACTGATCATGACGGGTGTGTGTACTTGATCTCGCTGCACTGAGAATTCAAACACTACGTCTATGACGTCACTGACGTCAGGCTGCAGGGTAAAGAGAAACAAATATGTTGATTGGGCAACTTCACAATATCTAAATGATGGCAAGATCTTTAAAAAGTTTATTAATAATAATTTCTAAAATTAAATGTTTAAAAAACAATTTTATAGAATTTAGAATAAAATTAGATAAGAACTGTTGATTTTAACAACGTTTAACATGTATATCATCACCGATTATGACGTAATATGTCTTTTAGTCATGTGACATGTGTCCTTTCTCCCCTTAATTATTTTTTCTGCATAATTTGAATATTGAGGACATTATTTTCTTCGTTCATCTTCAACTTTTGGACATGTAAGAAGGTTAAATCAATGTATTCTTAAACTTGTTTTTGCTGTGGGATTTGATCTTTTGTCTGCTTGACGAAGCGTCAATTATACTAAGATTTCAGTGGGATAATTCTCTTTGTAGACTTATTTCTAATGTATAAACTTAAGAAACTTACACAGCAACAATCCATATTAATTTTTGATATCAAAATTCGATGAAGAAAACATTAGTATACTCAAGAGTTTGACCCCAAGTAAATTATGTTTTCAGGTTTGTTAAACAAATCAAATAACAGCAATGTATATTAATGTCTCAGTGGCATCTTTTTTTTCCACATATTTCACTAATTGTTTTAAGAATTATTGTACACTTTATTGGGCTTTAAAGAATATCTAATGACTAGCGCTTTGCTGATAGATTTTGTAAAATGAATACAGGTATCCAATGCTTATGTATACATATTGATCTTTGAAAAGCTATATTCGAGAAGGGCCAGTAACAAATAAAGTAAATGACAACCAAGAGGACATCAACCTCTCCCTCGCCTATTTCCTATGTAGTAATAGTCTGATATCATCTGCAAATAGTGTTTACGTCTCCAAACTTATTCAATACTTAAGAGAATGCTTTAAGTCCGACAAATGTTAAAACCAAGACAACCTACTGTAAGAAATTTTGATTTTACAGAGATTAACATTTGTTTTACTTCGCCATTTTAAAAAAAAATAGTCGTTTTGAATACTCGTTAAGACCTATATAGTAAGTTTATATTGCAGTCTATTATTTCATACCAATACTTAATTTGACAGAGGAATATTCCATCTAATAATTGATCAATACATAGGGTTCACGAGTACGAAGAATGTATCAGGTTAATAGCTACAGGGAATAGATGCTCTATGTAAGCATCTGATTCCACATCTGAAATTTCTGTCAGTTCGTGTTGTATGCCGTTATATGATGTTTTACAGAATTTCTTGATTTGTTCACTGTTCGTGTTCGTTATTTTCTAATTAAAGAAATAACAAAAACGTAATTTCTGATTAAGTTTAATGAAAAAATCGCAATTTCGGGCTGGGCATATATCCGCTAATATATGTACATGATCATACAAAATTGGAAAGCATCAGATATTTTTTTTTCAGACTTAAGTGCATAAAAATGTAAGGAGAAAGCATAAGAACAGAATAATTTTCAAACAGGTTATATAGAATAATACAAAATTACACGATGCATAAAGATATTAGAAAATTAACAATAAACATGAAATGCAGATGTATTGATTTCAAAACGGATAATTATTAAAATAACATACTCTTTCAAACAATTATTGATTTCAATGCATTTTTTTTATTAACGTCATGAATATTTCGAATAAAAAAAAAATCAAGCTATCCACCTATTCTAAAACGTCTTCTATCAATAGCCGGTATATATATACAATTTCAAATCAACAATTTTTTTTATGAAATAAACACAAAATACCTAACATCTATACATTAAAGTACTCAAAAATCATTTATCACCAATGTTCCCCGTACTTTTGTTTCGCAATAAATTTTTTCGTTATTTAATATTAAATGTTCCATATTGTCCATAACCATTTCCTCTCCAAATGGTGACCATTTAATTAGTAATGCTGTGAATATAAATAATTATTGCATGAAAATACATGTAGTTAGATTAAACATTTGTCTTAAAATGCAGATAAAGATCACGGATGATTACTTACACGCATCATGTTGGAGCTGATATGTGGTCGTTTAATCTGGAACTATTAGGAGAATTCACGATCAGAATAATTGAAATTCATGTCAAATAGATTGTGTTTTTTTTTTTGGTCTTAAAATAAGTTTCACTTTAATTCCTATTTCTCTTCATAAATGAGAATCATTGTGTCCTCATATGAAGCAAAATAAAAGATCTTTTAATGATTTTTGAAAGTATTTTTATAATCGAGAACTTTTTTATAATCGAGTTTAACCGCATACCTTTTCATCTGGATCAAGTGTTTCATAAATAAAATCCCATTTATAATCTGGATTATCACATCCTGGAAGAATTACAAGTATGTTTCTATCAGCAACTTTTTTTTATACATAAGAAATTTAATGGTATATAACAGTAAATATTTAATACTTATAACACATATAAGACGCATCAAATACAGCGACTGTCATGTTTATTTAATCTATAACTAACTCACCTTGATTTCCCGTTTCTTTTCTTTCCCTTGAAGACATTTTGGAACTATAAGCATTGGTATCTTTCAATTCTAAATATTCTCTACGATAAACATTTTTATGATTTATCGAATCATAATCTGTTGTGCGCTGTGATCCACTATCCATTCCTCCTAAATTGCCACTAGCTCCTGTTCTGGGATTTTTGTTGTCTAAACTGAAAATTAAAGTAATTATGCAAATAACATAAAAAGCAGCAAACAAGAGAAAAAAGCAAGGTAAACAAACCCTTTTTGGCTAGTTTCAAGACTAAAAAATCTAGATATATATAAAAGTTGTATGCATACATTTATGATCATTAACTTATGACTTTTTTTATATTCTATTTTTATGGTTGTGACATTTTTGGAATGTTTAGCAAGCCACAACTCCCTCTATTTAATGATGGTATCGTACTTTTAGTTTGTTGTATTTTTGATATTCGTTCGCACATAGTTATATATTTGTTCAGACAAATAGAATAGAAATTTGTTCCGATTAATTTGAAATTCGTTAAGAGAAATTTGATATTTGTTCTGACAATTTCGATATTTGTCTGAACGCAATTAGTTCTGACAACCTGTTTTGATATTTGTCTGGACGAATACGCAATTAGTTCGGACAAACTAAAATTTGATCGGGTGAAACACATGGAGATAACAAACAACATTCCAGATAAAAAAAATCATAAAACCATATAAAATAGGAGCGAAGCAAACACGGCCTCCAAAACTTAAGAGGTGGGATCAAATGCGATGGAGGAGTGAGCATACTTTGCCGACCGATCACAACCGTCGTGGCCCTTGTCATGATAGAGAAATAACGAAAACATTCGTCGTTTAAGTCAATTAAGTGTATAAATAATTGACTAACAATTAGTATGAAAAACGTCAGTCAGAATTTGACTAATGATAAATTGAATTAACTGACAAGGTCATTGTATCGACCAAAGAACTTACGAAACGAGACTGCTAATATTCTTGTTTCATCAGCTTGTTTGACAATAATAAATTGTTGCACAGTACTCCTGTACTAAGTTTTTCTTTCACAACTGTCAATATCTTAGCGAGGAGTAAAGAAAGAGGTTTGGTTGAACATTTACTGGAACCCGTAAAGTATCTTTGTTGGTAAGGATTCTTATGAAGTTTCGGAACGGTAGTTCAAAATCATTAGGTTCTAGGGGATACTAAAAATATTCAAAGCTGACATATGATTTTGAAGAATTTCTTCCTTAGAAAGGGAACTATGAGTATAATAATATAATACTATGAGCAGTACCACTTGTAGCCTTAAATCCAAGTTATTCTAAAATACAACTTATACAATGAATATAATAAATCCCTATCGTCCATTACTCTGGTTCCGGGTCTCAGAAATTCTCCACTTTGAAACAAGCAATCTTGCTGATGATAACCATACACCTTATGGATTTCAGGACACATGTCAAATGACATAATGGGACTACGTTACAATTCCATTCGATATAGGTTCTAATACATAACTACCAATCACGAGTAGCTGTGTAATTTTGGTAGATTGTTGTGTTTTATCACATGTTGAAAATGACTTAATTTAAACGTCGTATCAATTTCTACATTAATAATAGCATCTATTTGTGTATACAAAATAGATGCCTTTATTTTACGAGAAAAGTATATTTGAAGGGACCTATAAACTAGTTTATAGGTCCCAAGTATTTGTTATTTGAACGTTGGCTTTTAAGGGTCGGGTTTGGTTGACACATCAAGTGTAGTATATAAAAGGTCGGGTTTGATCTTCACATTCCTTTCTCCTGAACCTTTCAAAGGTAAAGACGCATAACAATTGTTTGCAATAAAATACATGAAATGTTGTTTTGTAACTTTAAAATTTGTATGATTTTTCATTTATGCATTGTTCTCAACCATTTTAACGCTGTTATTACTATTGATGTGCATTAATTATGACGGATGAGATTGGATTCAAACACTTTACAAAGCAGACGACGCGCACGCGGTTATACCAAAAAATCGTTTACTTATATCTTTATTTTGTTTTACAATGATGTAATGTTGGTTATTAACATTAATAACTCTCTTTTTGTTTCATACTGCTTCGAAACCCGGCAAAAGCAAACTAGAATAGGTCCTATGCATGTGAACAACAATAAGGAAACTCAGTCGGAGCTTCTCGTGGACATGGACCCAAATACAAGACTGCAAGTCAAAGAAAAGCATAGAAAATTATCTTCAAATCGTTTGGAAAACCAGACATTGAATATAAGTATGATCACAGATTAACAGTCCAGTATATCAGGTACATCAATCACCTTTGTATTGCATTAATTAGTTGAGTGTGTATACATGCATACTTGAATTGTCTTTTCCACTGTAGATTGACACCAAATTATAAGCAATGTCTGCCAGCATAGCTTTTGATGTTGCTTTTATAACTATTTGTTTAAGAAATGTTAACTTTCAATATTAGAGGGAGAATTGAGAAATTAAAAAAATGACTTTGAAAAAGAATTTTAAAAGAGAAGGGGGGGGCTAACTGGAAAAAAACTAAGTACCAGAAATCAAGCGGAAAACAAAATGAAATTAAATATAACAACCAGTAAATCTTACAAATTAGGTTGCAATAAAATAATCTCCCAAAATAGCTGCAGATCTACATTCAAATCATAAAATTTTACGTTGATATCTCTCAAAATAAGGACTTGCAGTTGCCTGAAATTTGTTTAAAACTACGGTCAAAATAACCCAATAGATTGTTTTGATATACTCTTGTAATGTTAGGTGCAGATAATACAGCAGCTTAATTTTTTTATATGTAACAGAAGAGGAATGTTTCAGACCCATTGCACATTTTCATTAAATTTCTATTTGTGAGATTATATTCAATTTTTCTTTTATAGATATTCAGAACTATTGGGCATTACTTACAACATGGCTCAGAGCAACTAAGGCATTAAATACAATATGGCTGAAAACTATTAGGCATTACTTACAACATGGCTCAGAATTATTAGGCATTACTTACAGCATGACTCAGAACTGTTAGGCATTTCAACATGGCTCAAAACTATTAGGCATTAATGCCAACATTTTTTTCAGGTTGACATAGTTTATATCTCAAGTTTGTGATGAATGTAAATAAAAAGGAGAATGAAGTACATATCTTTTCCAGAGTAGTTTTGTTATAGTTATTTAAATGCACCCAATTTTCCTAGAGTTTAGTTCTTTGTATTCATGAAATATTACTATCTGATGTTGTGAAAGCCCCTGATATTTATAAGGCAAGTGATAAGATCAGTTGCATATCATAAATTTTATAGATTTACACTGAAATTGGGCATCCTAATCATTATAGTTGACTTCAAGAAGGAAAGAGATCTAAATTTGGTGTCGGGGAGCAATGATCATCTAGAAAATGCCTTTCTCAAGTCTGTATTTGTTGGAGCTTTCTCGTCATTGATTCCATTTGCTAGCTATTTAATTGGAAACAAAATGGTCATTGAAATATAGTAATACAAAGGTGAAAATGAGGAAGAAGGCCAGGGGCATCTTCATTGTTAAACAACATAATGTATCAATTCATATTAATTCTTGAATGAAAAGGAAAATACAAAATACTTATATACAACCATAAACCATCCATTGCCTAAGACTGGAATTACTAGGATAGTTTTGTTTTGATCCAATAAAGTGGAAATGAAAGGTTGGAAATTGCAATATGTAATCCAAGAAATGTCAAGAATGTTTTGTAATCATTTATAAATGAATATATTTTGGTTTTTAATAATTAAAGCAAAAAAGAAATAGTCAAATCTCATTTTCTTAAACTTTTGGGATTAGGAAAAGCTTTCAGTAGAGATATTGGATATTTGAGATGTAGATAGACATGACCTTCCAGATCAGTTCAGGTTACTTAAGATAACAGTGTTGGAAATACCAAGTTAAATTAAAATTACTTCTAGAATCCAAGTTAACTTATAGGACATGCAACAGAATGTATGTTGCAAATAAAATATATGGTCTTATTTAAACTATTTGGTTATATTTACACACAAGAAGTGACACAACTAGGCAAGTTCCTTAAATCCCTAACAATGTATCAATTAATTTTCGGAAGAGTTCTCACAGAAAGTTTATATGTTTTTGGATTTTTATACAGATTGCTCAACCTTGAATGTGCATGTGACTTCATTTTTCAGATGTTCGGGTATTAAAGTTCCTCACAGGGTGCTTATATTTTGTAACTCTGTTCTTATTATGCGGACTTTAAAACTTAGGACTGCGCATTGTCCCTTGGGCTTGCATTTAAAAGGAATTTCACTTGGTGTATGTTTTTTGAATCAAAATACTATTAAGAAGGATCAAGCACATATTGATAGCAGTACATGTAATACGTGTATTCAGGCTCATTGCATATAATAATAAATAAATAAATAAAATAAAATATTTCCATTTGATGTAATTAATAATCAAACATCTATACCTTAAAGAATTTTAGACTTTGCTTTGCATTTTGGGCTACACAGTGGAGAAATGTGGTCATGTAGAGCTGTAGAGCTCAGATGCACATACATGTATCACAGGCATTAATAATATTTATTGAAATAATCTATGTAAGTGGGAAGGGACTTAGTCAATTAGCACATAAATAAGATTAGTCAAGTACATGAGTATTGCAAGCATGGGTAATGAAATTGCAGCCAAAAAATCCTAGTTTGAAAATGGCATCTATATAGTGCCAAATATCTTCCTGGCAACTTAACTGGTAAGTATGATATACAAATTGGAACACTAGTAAATTTGTTACATGTATCAGGTAATGTATCTTTTGTAGGTATATCATTAAACAAGACCCGTATGCTTCCAAAATGTTAGTATTGTCGTTTACAGGCATTTGTAACCATCACTAAAATGTGTTGTACCTTCTTGTAATTGAATATGATTAAGAATTTCAAATTGCTCTGCTTAAATTGGCTAATTAGAGAGTGAATATGTCGCCTTCGAAGATATAAAATTTGTTTTTTTCAAACAGCAGGACATGGCTTTCCTAGCAATTTTTAAACAGGAATTATGATACAGGTAGTTCTCTTGAGTGACACTCCCCCTATTTGGTTTTAAAAACCCCCAGATCTTTAATTTTGATTAACTGCAACCATTTACATCTAACTTGCCTTGAATAATGGAGAAACGAAAAACGATGGTGGTAAAGAGCATTGCAAGGTTGCTCAGACATTTCAGAAGGAATTAATAGACAGGTAAGTTTCTACAAGACAAAGCTTTATTAGGCATTGAGGAATTAGGTGAGATACATCACATTTGGTAAGATTTGATTGCCTTATGTGTTGTAAAACCTTTTCTAAATTAAGGGAAATTCAAAATACTTTATTATAAGTCTGCTGAAGGATATGCACATCTAGGAATCAAGATGTGTGCAAGTATCTAGCTGGGAAGGGAGGTCTTGGCAGTATTGGTCGTGGAGCAGTTGACTTGCTTTGCTTCCCCCAGTGTGTGGGGTGACTGCAAGCTGTGCCAACTTGCAGCCATGTGGCGTCTGCGCACACCAAGTCAACTGATAACTGAATGTTTGTGTTAAACTTGTAATAAACTGTCACCTTGTTGAAATGCTAATGCTAGTGTAAACTAAGCTAATAAGCTTACTCTTGGTGACAGTAATATATACTTTCGAACTGTACTACATCGTACAGGTTTGAAATATGAAAAATGTTGATATTTGAAGTTTGAGATGTTTGATCTATGAAGTTTGAGCTATTAATGATATATGATATACAAGATATGCTTGATATTTGGAATTTGAGATATGACTTATTGATTGATTGAATGATTGATTGATTTGAACAGTTTGTATGTGTGCTGACCCACCGCGGTTAACCCGGGACGGTTAGAAAAAAGAAACACTGGTGGGTTCGCCCAATTGAAATGGCGTCCCACAATTTTGTATTGTGCCACGGCCAATACTCGCCACATTAAATAAATATAAATTCTATATGGAGTTTTGTGTCATTTTTCTCTGTATAAATAATATATTTTTCTGAAAAACATTGATCCACTCTTCCGTTTCCCCTACACTGTGCGTCTAAATTACAAGACATAGATGTAATCTGTTAATGCAATAAGATTAAGTACACGTTGATTAAACTGTTAGAGATTGATTTTTCAGTCTTTGTAGGTATACAGTGAAATAGGAAAGATTATCCTTATCCGATGTTGTATACTAATTATATCTGATACCGGTTGCAACGAATTTAATAATATTTATTTGTCAAAGACCATAAATTAGAAGACCTTCAAATGCAAACACAAAGTTTGTTCGTGGTTTGATCAACTTCAACGTTGTTGTTACTTTTCAGAAAATTTTATCGATATTATTTATACTATTTTTATAAATACTATAATGTTACCTACTCACTTGTGTATTTAGACTACAATTGAACTTGCTTGAAGTTTACTGATTAAGATTGATATTCTTGCACAGCAATAGAAAATAAACTTTTATGACGGATCATTAAGATTTTTTATCTAGATTTTAAATGTCATTTATTGCTTCTGCAAATAAATAAGTTCATTAGATATTTATAAAAAGATTCAAATTGAAGAAAGAAATCATTTTGACATCAATTCCGTGAGCTACTAAAGCGTGCAAGTGCCATTTAATTTTAACACTTCATTTTTTAATTTTTACATTTAAATCTGTGAATTTTACAAATCAATCTGTAAATTGTACAGATTAAAGTGTACATTTTACACTTTAAAGTGTAAATTTTACAGATTAAATGTAAAATTTACAGAATCAAGTGGAAAATCTAAAGATTCAAGTGTAAAATTTACAGATTCAAGTGTGGAAATTGAAAAATTAAAAAAAGTGTTCACGTGGCACTAATACGCTTCATGAGCAGTTTGGGCCACTTACTTTTTTTCTTTTTCCGTTTTCAATTGGCGCATGTAGTGACACTTGCATACAATCACCAGAATGATAGCCACTATAACCAATGGAATACTTACTCCAAGAACAACGATGTATATGAATTTGTCTAAAAGAATGTAGTTAATTTTTTTACGCTGATGTATTTTGAAAAAGAAATGTACAAAATAAATTGCACAAAAACAATTCAAATATTGCAATAAAATGTATCTAAAGTGTAGATCGAAACATGAATGATATAAAAGTTATACCTGATAACGAATCTTTAGAAACTTCTCTGAAAAAAAAACATATGAAACATAAAACATTAAAAAAATAACATCTCTCTCTCTCTCTCTCTCTCTCTCTCTCTCTCTCTCTCTCTCTCTCTTTGTAGATATAATATGTAACAATATACTGTTTGTTATCTTAATACAATCATCGAATGATAGAACAAAATTGTTTATTTTACAGAAAGATCATTAAAAGTTGCAGAATGGTGACTAAATAAAAGAACTTCGTCTTTTACATTCATGTAAAGTAATTCACGTCACATAATAAAAAAATCGTATCTGTTACAACAATCGATGTTTCTATTTAAACCTGGTTAAATAAATAAGTACAACGACATCTTTAAAAATTGTTTCTTAAAATTGTTGCTACATGTGGACTGTTATTTTAGGATTTTTGCACCCGATATGTCGATCGAAGTCAATTAGTTAAACTTCCAAAGATTGGCTGAATTTCACGCTGTAATACTCATAAAATCCGACTACCACTGAAATAACATATACATTTATATGGAACGCCATCACTGCCTTATAGCATAAAACTATGCATTCATTATGTCAATCTATCATTACGTGATGTGAACATATCTTTACGTTATATCATTTTTTTATGGGGTGATGTAAAAATATCTTTACATCATGTCAATGCTGCATTACATGAAGTAAACACATTCTTCCATTATGTCGGCACTTTATAACTTGAAGACCAAAGTTCATTATGTGATGTGAAAATATGTTTACATTGTGTTAAAACTTAATTACGTGAAATGAATGTTTCTTTATATTATTTCATTTCTTTAATATGTGAGGCCAAAATTGCATTACGTCAAATTAAGCGTTTTACATGTGTTCTATGATTAAATTTATCATTACATTTAGTCAAAGTCCATTCCCTTTTGTGAGTGTATATTTCTATTATAACAAAGCATTATTACGTGATGTTAATGTATCTTTATTTTATGCCGAGGTCATCACAATGTGAGGTGAATAATCTTACCTATATGTCAGTTATTTATTACGTGATGTAAAAAGGTTAATAACATAATGTGAACATATATTATGGAGACAGTCACGGCGTTCCATATTATATCAACACTTTATTACGTTATGTCAAAACTCCATTCCTTTATGTGGATATTTAATAAGAATATGTTAACTCTTTCTTATGTGATTTAAAACTATCTTTACATTGTGTTAATTCTTTATCATGTTGATTACAAATGTTGATTACGCGCTGTTAAATACATTTACATTATGTCAAAGTTGATAACCGTGTTTTCAGGACTGGGAAGGGGGGAGGGTCCTGATTAATTAGGACGAATTACAGACACATTATATGAGGGGGGGGGGGGGTAGGGGTCTGACTTCCTCTTTTTTCCGACATAACTTTATCATAGAAAATGTTCATTGAAATTCAGTCCCACTTTTTGCTGAAGTATAAGGGTAATGTAGTATATTTGGAATTTTTTTAAGGACTGATCGAAGTTGGACCCCCCCCTCCTTTCACCCGAAATAAGATTTTCGAGTTTGGATTTTTTTTTTCGCTTTTTCTTGTACGTTATTTTCTTCTGGCTGACAAACCTCCCCCAGCTTTCAAAAACGATGCAACGTCCACTGGAATTAGTAATTTTTCAACCATTCCAGGACCAGAATTCTGTTACAAAAATCTACGTTTTCACTTAAATTAACACGGGCTCATATCAGTTGCGATCTTGGGTTCTTGAAAGGAGTAGCTATAGGGGGACGATATGGTGTCTAAGTTGGGGACCAGGGGGTGAAAGCCCGAAAGCTCTCAGGCTTTAGATTTTTTTTATAAAACGTTTCAACTTATTTCAGTTATACTTTATGTAAAACTAATGCAATGTCCTACAAAGTAAAATCAATTGATTAATTTCATGCATATTTTGGTCACTAAAGATTGGAGGGCGGGATCCTCCCTTTCCCCACCGACCCACCAGTGCACGTATGAAATACGATGTATTTACACTTTTTTTTTAAAAAAAGGAGGGTTAAAGACTGATAAAAAGCTTAGGACAGTGTTTCGTAGTTAGATCAGAAGTTTCGGACTTTTCAAATCGTCAATAAAGATTCCATGGGAACATGATCCTATTTTTAATTTAACCTGATATTTAATTAAGGATTAATTAAGTCTTGTGTATAATTTAATATTTGATACGTTTAATTTAAATCATTTGCAAGTTTAACATATGTGCATGTAATATTGAAAACACAAAACGAACTTTTAGGCATAACCTAAACCTTACGTCACATAATAAAGAGTTGAAATATTCTAAGATATACTGACAAGAGGCTAAGCATTTTAGACACAATGTAGAGATACAATGGCATAACATAATAATGATTTGTCAAAAAGTAAGGGAAAATTGACATCAGCTGATAGATCCCCGGCGTCATGTAGCATATTGATGACACAATATAGTAAAGAATTGGCCACATGTGACAATTTTTTTCACATCATATATGAAATTCTGACATCGTGTTATAGCGACTTGATATTGAATTAAAGATAAATTCACATCATGTAATGAACTACTTAGACCAAATAGTAGAGAGTGCACATAATGTAATAATGAGTTTAAATTATATATTAACATCTTTACACCACGTAAAATTGTTTTGACTTAATGTCATAAAGAGCTGATATAATACAATGGAAGATTGGCGCAATGTAATTGAAGTGCGAGTTAATGCAATAAAGACTTATTATAATGTAATGTAAAGTTGACATAACGCAATAGTAGTGTGTGTTAATGCCATAAAGAGTTGACAAAATGTAATGTAAAGTTGACATAACGCAATAGTAGTGTGTGTAAATGTCATAAAGAGTTGACATAATGTAATGGAAAGTTGACATAACGCAATAGTACTGTAAGTAAATGTCACAATGTGTTGACATAATGTAATGGAAAGTTGACACAATGCAAATGTAGTGTTCTGCTATAAGGCAGTGACGGCGTTCCATACATTTACTAAATGAAGAAGGTATATATTAAAGCCAAAACGGATTTATCTGGATAACAAAGAATAATATTGAGAGAATATTGATTGATTGATTGATTGTATATTGTTAAACGTTTCTCTCGAAAAATTTTCACTCATATGGAGACGCCACATTGTCGGTGGAGAGCTGCAAATTTTGTCCTATACTCGGCACTTAGGGCCATTGAGCAGGGAGGGATCTTTTTCGTGCCAGCACCTACTGCGACACGGGACCTCGGTTTATACGGTCTCATCCGGACCGGTCTCCACGTCCCACAATGGGATTCGAACCCGCAACGTAAGGATTGACTCCTCACTTCACGACTCTCGAGCAGACGCTCTAACCACTGCGCCACGCGGGCGACGAGAGAATATTGAAGGGGCTTAAAAGAATTACCGTTTTTAAAAAGGATTAAGCAAATTTGAATTGCGGCATTCAGATTAAAAGCGAAAAAAAAATCTTTTTGACTTGAGCAGTGTCATTTAAAAATGAATTTATCAGAATTTTAAATTCAATATGCATATGTTAATACACAAAGATTACCCTTTTTGTAATATCGATCCATACATTCTTCTACTTTAAAGAGAAGCATATGAAATTTCCATTCAAACAAGAAGAGCATATTCAAAATACTGCATTTATGGATTTCATTTGTTGAATTAAGCATTATCTTTAATAATAATTTCTGAAAATTCAAGAATGAAAGTATGAATTATATGTTGAATTTCCAGGAATAAATCCCAGGAACCAGTGACATACAATGTACTATGCTTGATTTTACGTGTTCACTATTTAAAAAAAAAGGGGGTGGGGGCTCGTCCATGAAGTGATAATATATAATAAAACAAATTTTGTTGCTAGTTTATGTAAAATAAAAGAAGTAATATCAAGAATTGACATAAATATCAACTCCTTTATATATACTTACACACAGACTACCGTCCCAGAGGAAACTTTACATCGCTGTCCTACTTCACATGGCGCAAAACTTTCGTACACATCACACAGACTTGACGATTTATCGATCACTAAAAAATACAAAATTAATATTATAGGTGGAAAACGGATGATTCAGATTTGAATATTTAAGAAATACTTCGAATGATTAAGACCCAAATTAAGATTTCTTTACTGATGAGTGTCAGTACTCTTATGAAATATATCTGCTAAATTTTGTAGTTTTCCTTACAAATTAATATATCTAAACATGGTAGTTGAGTAAAACTTTTTTTCTATTGTAAATCTAATATATTGATCTTATTCATTCAAAGTATTAATAAGAGCCAGTCCGCGAGAAAACCATGCAAAATTCAAAAATCGTCCAAATGGAAGGTTGCAACTTGGGAGTTTTTAGTGGCTTAAAATTTTCTACATAAAGGTAGAAGTCAGAGTATCCACCAAAAAATGTCGAACCTTGCATCTATTTTTAGTAACAGCTCATTTGCATATTTGTCGAAAATCACACAAAATTTAATGGAAAATCTATACATATTGATCTAGTTAAAAAAGTGACCTTTTGTCACCAGTTTATTTTCAAATTTTGTTTTATTTTCAATGTCATGGTGAAAATTACACAATTAATGAGGAAAAACTTAATTTAAATGAATATTTTATTTTTTACACATCTATTTATAGATCCTAAATCAATGAGTATGATTTTTTAGCCATTTTTAGATGCTCGTTTCTGTCTAGACCAAGGTTGAAATTAAATTAAATTAAATTAATTGTTACTTTAAGAATGATCTAAGGTCTACTTTGTATTAAAATATTGAGCTTGGGAAATAATATCTACATGTTGTAAATTAACTTTGAAATACCATACTTTGCTACAATTTCACACATCTTAAATAACATTCTATTACCATATTTATGGATTACTTCTATGATATTTAAATGAAAAAGAGAAGATTCGTAATCTAATATATTTTTCAGAATAGGAATAACTGATTTGGATACTTCATATAACTTTCTTTTGCTTATTTTAGCCCCTTGTTACCAAATACTGGAGTTAAATTGTTATCTCCCCTTGTTGGAGCTCTTTAGTATTATTGGGTAAAAAGTGACAGGTATATGGAAAGAAGAAAGTCATGTATGATCATTTTTTCTTCACCTAGGGAGTTGTTGTGGAACATTATTGCAGTGCACTATGAAAGAGGAAAAACTTATTTTAAGATATTTGAATGTAAGAAAGAAACAAAAACTTAGCTTGAATAAACAGCCGGCCCATAGGAAGCTATTTCAGTGTGGGGGAGGGGGGACAACCTACATTATCATCTACCAAAAATTCCATAGAAAGTAAAAAAATAAATAAAAGGTCATCAGTTGTTTTTTTTTATTTGGGGAACAAGCAAATACATGTAGTAGCTATGTTTTCTATAGGGTTCTGTCCTCAAGGAATCTACGTGTATTTTATGGTAATTAACTGTTACAAAATGTTTTCTAACAAGTATAATTGAATAGGAAATTAAATCAAATAATAACAGATATGCATTTGATATTTTGTTTAAGGCACCTGGCCCCGCTCAAGTTCAAGATCATTTTATTCACTCAAACCATTTCAGGTACATGAGGACAATTAAGAATATTTACAACATATAAATTCAGGTCAGAGGTACGTACAAGTATATGATATACATATAATCAGAATACATGTATATGAAAAGGAAGAGAAAAAAAGAAAAACACATATGAAACATGTCATAATGAAATAAGCAAAGGGAAAAATCATGGAGGACTGACTAACTAAAATCATGTATTTTCAATATAAACGTACGTAGTTTTCTTACTGTCTTAGCAACTTGTTTTGTCATCAGTTGAGAAAATATAAGAATACATACAGGTATTTGAATGCATACTCTCAACAAATTCAAAAATAATTTGTAATTTCAATTTACATGTATATTGTTTACGTTTCATAAATTTAGTGTGTTTTTGAGTTAACCAAACATCGTCATTCCTAATAAAATTTTTAATTTTACATTACATACTTTAAACTACTGTGTTACGTAACATTCATGTACATGTATTGATAAAATCAGATCTCCCAATAAAAAAGCATCAGCTCAAAAGGAGATGCCACCGATTTAGGTACCCCACCGATATAGGACCCTCCACGATATATATTGGCAAAATTATTCCGGGGAGGGTACAACCCCCCCCCCCCCCCCCTCCAAAAAAAAAAAGAAAAGAAAGAAAACATGAGTCGTTACTGCAGCCAAAACTTATGCCATTTTGCAGTACAAAGTGGTAAAAATTTAAAACCGGCTTGAATTTTAACATCTATAAACATAATACAAGACTAGATTCATTCAAATTTTGGGGGTTGGGGGTTGGGGGGGGCTATCAAATTTTGTGAAAAATTATTTTCATAACATTATTAATAAAGTTGTATAAGGCTTTGTAAATTAATATTTGATACTTTTTTCTCAATAACCGTAATTGTATTATTAATACCATTGCAGACAGAGTTTAATTTTGAAGATAAATGCTTTTTTTTTTAAAATGTTATATGTGTCCACTGAAAACAGTTGGGGGAGGGGGCGTGTTAGTCGAGAAAAGATTAATAAATTCATTTTCAAGGTCAGGATATTACATATACGAGTGTATCTAGTACCCAATTGTTTAACCCCATCCACCTCCCCACAATTTACATACTAGACTAGTATTGAAATGGATAAAATAATGAAAAATGATAGGGGTTCTGGAGGGGTGTTGCTAAAATGAGGAACGGAAAACGGGACTGAAAACCTATTATTTTTTTTATTTTAGATTAAATCACTTTAAATGCACAAATTTATAAACAGTATATATTTTATAAATTCAATCCACCATCATTTAATACAAGTTGATTTATTCATGTTCATAAAATCTCTTGTTCACGAAAATCGCAGTCATAGCAGTGACGTAGAAACGATTTTGAGAGGGTCGGGGGGTGTAAAATTAAACTTACCTGAAAAGAATTTGCCAAGCGAAAAAAGAAGACAATTGTTTGATTCGGGAGGTGGGATAAGAGTAAACTCCAGCATCTTTAATTTTCTTAAACTCCTTTATGGAGTATTTTGTATAACATCTGTCAGTATTTTTATAAGATTGCGCCAATTTAAAATTGGCAGAAAGCAAACAACTTACTGAAGGCTCAAATTGTATATGTTCAAGTCTCAAAATTCATATGAATGATACTGAAATAGAGAAATGGAAAAATTGCAAGTAAGCCAATACAATTTATTATGCTTTTTTCATTTCTAAACAATTGGCAAAATGCCAATCCTCATTCTAGGGGTAATTTCTGAAATTTAGTTTGATTTAATTTACAATTTTAATATTTTTCAATCTTAATTATTATTTCAAAGGAAACTGTTACATGTTTCAATATCTAACAACAATTATTTATAATTTAAATTACTATATTTGACTTTGTAACCCATTTAAGTTTGCGCAATTTTTTCAAAAATTGGCAATTTGTAAATCCCCATATCTCAATTATTTATAATTTCTCAAGCTCAATATTTTGCAAAGATAATCTTAAGAGTTATATTTATACAATAAAATCAAAGAAATTAATTTCAAAGATTGGTCTTGGAAGATTTGGGGCATTAAATTTGTAATACTTTTGGCAATTCTTGAAAATTGGCATCATGCCAATTTTCAAGAGTTGTCTGCCCTTTGATATATTGCATATTTGTTTATGATAGATGCCAATTTTGAAAGATCATAGTCTTATGTTACTTAAAATACCTTAATGGAAATGCAAGTTTAATTTCGAGTAAAATAAATCAAATGTGAATTTTACCATTTTTCTTAAAGTTTTAAAGTGCATTTGCACTTAAATGTGCAAAAAGGAGGTGGCGCTGCCTACGGCTGCCATGTTGAATGATGGGAATTTTTTTGATCATTTTTGAATAACATATTGTAAAGTCTAACTACCCACCAAACTTCATTAAGATATGACAACCTTCGATTTGACAGTTCTGCATGGTTTTCTCGCGGACTGACTCTTAAAATTATCAAATCTGACTCATCCTTTTTTCATACAAAAACAATCATCTAGACCTCTTTTTCAGTTTCTCTGAGATATTCGCAACATGTTTCCTGAAACTGTGAATTAGCATTTTCATATAGTGCTTTTTCAAGGTATTCAAGGATAAGAGATGCACATATACACTGTAGGTGCCATTTTGGTATCCATGACTGTAACTTTCACTTGAAGAAGATATGTATTTCCCATTGAAAGTAAAAACATTGTTCTTTAGAACTAGAATTATGTGGCTTCCAATAAAACTTCTCTATCAATTCAGTTGTCAATTTTATTTCTGTAAATTTTAATTTCGAAACATAAAGCCTGGAATCTTAAGGTACTGGCTATATTTGTGTATAATTTCACTAAATTTAAATTTACAAGTCTTCTGAAATTTGAAACCATGAAATGAAAATTTAAGTGCTATTTTTCTCTATAATATGTACATATATGTATAGCAATTATCAAATAATAGCCCAAGTATACACTATTTACTACCTATTTTTGTCCCATTCACATTTTTTATAGATGCTCCCTTGATCCTTGGAACCTCATTCAGAATCACCACCTTTGATTTCCCACTCCTCATTCGAAGCATGCTTTCGGCAACTCCAATTTGCATTGTTTTTGATTGAGATTTTTCTCCAATAATCTCATAAGTAACGATAATACTTCCAAATCTGAAAAAATTAAAATATAGAAATCATTCTTGTGAAAAAGAGAATGCAAATAATCTATATCGTTATTAATCAGAAAATAATAACAATTTAGAAATGTTCAAAGATATATTTAAACAAGGCAAGTTTGCCTAGCTTACTCTATAGACAAGACATTCACTCTGAGGAATCCGTTTATTTGCTGGTTTTCAAAGAATACTTGAAGCTATATTTATAAAAAAAAATCATTTAAAGGTTTCTTATGTGCTATATGAATAAAAATTCAGATATTATTTATCATTGTATTCACAATTGTATTTTCAAAATATTTACCGACTTATTGATTTTCTCAAGCCAGGTTGTGCTTTTATCCAGGAATTCAGCTCTGCTTTTAACAATATCGAATGTTACCTCTGCAAGAACTATTGCCTCTGTTTTTTCTATAAAATCACGTTGATCTCATTTACAAACATAATCCTTTGTGCCTAATATTTACTGAGAAATTTATTTTCAAATCTGATATAAAAGTATACATGTGATATAAAATGAACATTAATTCAAATTGTAATTGTCCAACATGAAGCCACTGAGTCACAACACTTACCAAAGTTACCCTGTTTTCAGTTGTTTATTAAAAGATATTTTTTAAAGAAAAACAATGTATATTTATAATGAAGGGACATTTAAAAATTTGGAATCATTTTTAACTAGTTAAAAAGTATTGCTAAATAACGATGAATAAGGAAAGAATCAAATTCACATGACTGATAACAATTAAGAAGCTGGTCAATATGCACCTTATAACTAACGAAATGTTTGCCCTTGATGAAACGAAGAAAATTCTCATCTATGGTAAAAGATGCACTTTATTCTTTATTAAGAAAAGAGAGTTGATATATATTTTCGCCAAAAAATCTTTATGAAGTTTAAATTACTTTTTACAATTTCTTTACAATAAATGCGCTGACCATGGACTTGGACGTAAAATTGAAGATGCAATAATTGGACAATAATCAGAATCTTGTAAATTCTAAATAGATTAGTATTTTTATTTGACAACAGCTTAAAAATGCACCGTAGATTTCAAATATTGAAAAATTCATATCTTACTTAGTACGAGGGGTGTTAGAAAAGTTTGCGGACAAGTTCTATTGTGAGTGCGCTATTTCCACGGAACTGATCTAACTTTCCAGATAAAATCTTAACTTTTTTCCAATGAATATACAAGAATTTGGTGCTCTCCGCTGATTATTGAAAATTATACAGCTTTTTTATTCTGATAAAACTTGCTTCACGGAGCATGCTACATTTTTGCACGTTTACATCACAAAGACTATTTATTAAAATCAAAAAATTGCACAATTGTTGTGCATAAAAGAGATTTATGATATTTTACCTGCCGCTAGAGTATTCATAAAACGTCAATGGGAGAAATTTTGAACTAAATTGGATGGATTATGACTGTTTCATAGCCGTTTACAAATGATCAACAAGAAAGAACACAGTCAAAAATCGGAACGTCATTGAGCGTCATCGAGCACTGCAATACATAATCAAAGTACTGAAAGTACTGGGAAGCGGTTAGCATGCTTGCTTTGAAATTGGCATGGGGAAATAAAAGGCAGAAAATGTGCAGGTGTGGATAAATTTCACTGATGAAGATTACTTGGTGTCAAATTTTAGTGCAATATGAATTTGATAAATTCTTTGAAATTAATTCCCTGTTCGCACGACGACGCCTAAGAAATGAACAAATATTCTGCAGTGATTGTGATTGAAAGACAGTGACTATTGTTGTTCTATCAGGAGTACAAAGTCCATCTTCTCCTCTTTTATGTGAATCAAAAAGAAAGAATCGAAAATGATGATACGCCTGAACATTGCAAAAACTGGATTCCAGTGCATCTATGCCACCTTCAATTAACATGCATCCAAATTTGGCTTCATTTTTCTGAATGTAAAACAATTACCCTCATAAATAATAAAATCAGGCATAGGCGTCGGAATCGGGGGGGGGGGGGGGCTTATCCCCCCCCCATTTTTTTTTTGCAAAAATAGACATTTTCTACGTATTGTAAATTGGGGTTTACTTTTTTTTTGGTTTAACCCCCCCCCCCCACTTTCAATTTGCTTCCGACGCCTATGGCAGGCAATTCTTCATGCAATAGACCATTAATAACTTGATCTTCTGTGTGGGCACTTAATTTTCTGCACAGTGTGTAATCCCTCATCAATATTGTATTCATTTCATGTGTACTTAAATCATCAATACTCTTTAGCAAGGTTTTTATCATGAATGTTAATGCAATTTGTAATTATCACACTGCCTCCCTCTTGAACTAAAAGAAAACCTATCATCACCTTGACAAAAATCTGCACATAAAAACTTATTAATTGTAAATAAACTACAACTACAAGAAATCACTTACTGATCAAAGTTTTGTATTGAACACTAAATTTTCAGCAAATATGTGAATGGTAATATTAAAAAAGTAATTTATGGCACACGTATATGAGGACAATTACAGTGTTCATCATGCTAGTTCTTATCAGTGCTAGTTTCTGCAAATGTTCAATTATTCAGTTGATGAGCGAGGTTTTTTTTCTTCATAACATTGAATGATTCCTTACTCAAAGATGCCTTAAATATGCTTTAAAAATCTCAATACATGTATTATGAAAATTCATCATGTTTATGTAAATATTCACATGAAATTATCAGATTTCAGGTATTTTCAGCCAATCTTTCCTGAAGTTGATACCAACTTAATGTTTTTTCAAAATATGCTCGATAGTTCTCATTAATATTCTCATGAACCTTATTATTATTCTCAGAAGTTCTCGTAAATATTCTCAGTAGATCTTAAGAAAATATTCTCAGTAATTCTCAAAAATATTGTCAGTTTTTCTCATAAATATTCTCAGTAGTTCTTGTAAATATTCTCACTTGTTCACCAATATTCTCAGCTGTTTTCATAAGTATTCTGGGTAGTTCTTATAAATATTCTCACCTATACAGATTAAAAAATAAATTCCATCTGTTTGCTGAAAAATTGCAACTGATAACCCAGAATCAAAGTATATTATTTATACTGGGTCAATGATAAAGGTTAGCAAATTAATTACATGTTTCAGTAAAGAAATTTTACACAATTTTGTTTTTTTCTGCAGCAAGCAACATGATTTTTTTTTCAATAGGCCTTGTTCTTTGTCACTATTAAATTCTCTTAAAATTCCTGAAATAATAGGCCTAGCTTAATTATTCGATAAAATGATAAATAATTAGCGAAAGGCGAGACAGTTTTTGCGGGGTCGGGAATTAAATGCAAACTTTTCAGAGATAAAGAACCAAAAACACACACCCGTCTTTGCAACAATTAATGCAAAAATAAATAATAAACAAAATATGACACTACAATCACTGATTTGATAAGAATGTATTCAATTATATACGTTCAGTCCTACGATATTACTTATGTCTACTTGCATTTGGATTATTTAACTAAATGCTAAGGACCCAAACACTACGCTAAATGTAAATGTAGAACTATTTTGTTCTCCTGTCCACTGCCAAATTTGCCCCTGGCCTGCAATATTGCATGTAACCCCAGATAATCCAGCGCAGGCTTTCTGGTATTTCCGTCAAAGATCGGAAAAGCTGCACTTTTTTGCTCATAGGTAGCGCCTTATGGAGGTTTCCGGTTGCTTTTGAAATTGCGTAATCTCGTTGGACACATGTTATAAAGCGGCTAGCGAACACGCTAACCGCTTAAAAATTATGTGTGCAGACAGGAAAATGTCTAAAAAGAGATTAAAATGTTCAAGATGCTGCCGGGAATTTCCTACACATACAAAGGACAAAAGTTTTCAAATGGTTGTAGCTTTATAAGAATGGAAGGATTAACATTTTGAATGATTAACTCCATCGATACTTCAATACCCCCTTATCGCATGGACCAGTGGACGTTGCGTTGCGCCTATATGGTTTTGCATAGTCTCCATACCTGATCGATCAACTGCATAGACTTAAGATTTCAGTAATAACCGAATCAGTACAAAAGACATTATAGTAGAAAAGTAACATGTCTTGATATAGATATTCAATTTCAAAGTAGAAAAAAGATAAGAAAAATCTAAAGAAATGAAAGATTTATAGAACTGCGACAAAGCTTACATGTAACGGATTGAAATATGAAGAAACGAAAAATTTATAGAACTGGGACAGAGCTTTACGGGTTGAAATGTGGTTGGCACGTCGCCTTGCGTCAAGTGATTGCTCCGTGTATACCATGACCTCATGGTAAAAATCTTTGTAAATTTTCAAGATTTTAGCATATGGACCTGATTTTTTACATATCAATTAACAAAATGTAGGAATTTATTCAGACATTTGTCATACTTCACAGTACACAATAGATTTTCCGTAATTCAATGTGTCCGCGAACTTTTCTAACAACCCTTGTACGGTCGT